CGAGTTGGATAGTCCGGACTGCGAGTGGGTCATCAGCGACTTGTGCAACCGTTCAGTGGGTCCAGTCTGTCCTTCAGGTGTGCCTTCCTGCAACCATTTGAAGAGGTTCCAAAATCGGTGCTTCCGAAACAACACTGACCACAGGAAAGAATCCAGAGAACTGGTTTTTGTGGTCTGGATGGAAACCCAAAAGGACCACCTTGACGAGTGAGCCATATTTGGTGTGCTATTCAGATTTGGCTGGAATCCTCTGGCGGCGATTTTTTTTGGCGGCAAAACCGAGCTCACGCTTGGGCCCTCCGGGTTACCTGAACCCATATGGCCCCCATTTTTTCTCTCATCCTTTTTGGGTTACATGGGAAGCGAGTTGGAGGCATAGACCTGGGCCAGAGGCGCAACTTCGATTTTCCAGGCAGCGGCTCGGCGTCCGAAGGTCCGGATGGGAAACAGGGGGCCCGCCAAATTCGTCGGTTTGGCTTATGTTCAGGGCTGCAATGGGAAGAGCGTTCGCCAAATTCGTTTTTTTCCAGATCAAAAGTGACCAAATCTTTACACTTGAGCTAAAACGTAGAGGAAAGTAGTCTTTCCACAGATGTTTGTGCACTTCCATGTTAGCCGGTAGGACGTTACGCTTGAGCTAAAACGCGTCGATAGAGGTTGCACCCGCCTGGCGCTGTTGCTGGAGCCACTCGCGAGTACTCGAGTCCTCGCGCCAGGTGGGCCTGCGACAAAGGCGCGGGTCGACTCACTGGGGTAGAGGCATGGCCTGCAGGTCAGTTTGACCGAGCGGAAAAGAGGTGGTCCCGCACTTGTGTTTTTGGCACCTGAGTGGGGGGAAAAGATTCAAAGACACCAAAACGTGGTAGAAACCAAAAGAAAGAGGGCATCCACGCGAGGAAGATCGCCTCTTCATGGTCGCCCTCGCGGACAACATCGGAGGCGGGTGTGCTTGGGGCAGCCCGCTCGTGCGCGCGGACTGGACTCGTTGGGATGGTTGTTTGATGGTTCTTAGGGCCAAAGATGAAGCGACCCAACTCACACGGCACCTTTTGGTGAATGCTCCGTAAAGGAGACCCCAAGGTATCAAAGCTGAGAGGTAGCGTGGTAAAATGTTTTGACAAGTACTGCCGTGGAGAGGCCCTCCCAGATCAAGATCCCCGTTGTGCCGTGGTGAAATACTGACATTTTCGTGGGGTTTACCCACGATATTCGCAAAGAACCTATTGGCCATTTTAGCAAGATTCGACTACTTGTCTTCATGGAAGTTGTTGTTTTTTTGTAAGGCCCGTGGAAGCCTTTTCAAACATGTTGGTAGAAACAAGGGGCCAGTGATTCTGGGCGCTGCTCATTTGCGCCTCTGGCCCACATGAGGTTCGGCCTGGCTGAATCGCGGGCCCCTCAACGTCAAGCCCAGAGTCGGGAAGCAACCGCGCGGGATTCGGACGTGCGCATTTCCTTTTCCCGGTGAAGAAGATTTAGGGTCCATTTGGGTGAAACTCTTTTTCCAGGTTGAGACCAAGGCTCGAAAACCTTTTGATTGGCGTCTCAAACAAACCAGGTTTTTGGCCATCCATCAACCTCCCTGGGTGTCGAGTGTTGCTCAGTTGCGGGTTTCTTCATAAGATCGTTTAGGGCATCAACCATGAATCTAATCGGTTCCATCAATCGAGACGAGGCTTGACTGGGCGACATTTCTTTGGCTGGGTGGGGATTTCAGGGATTCTCAGGTGACTGGGCGAAACCACAAACCTCACGGCCGAATTTTAGATGCGGGCGGCAGAATCTCAGGGCACTGTAAGCAGCCTTTCCTCTTTGACATAGCTGAACACGCAAGGTAGCTTTTCAGTCAGGGCCCTTTCACAAGCTAGGGGTCTTTCTCAAGCTCCTCTTTTTGATCCCTTCCACAAGCTAGTTGTTTTTTCTTTTTTCTATCGACTTCTACAATCCTGACAATCTGGTGGGTGCAATCCGCCTCTTTGAGTGAACCATTCGAACTCGCCAAGCAAACGCCACCTCCCAACGGGTTGGGGATGTTTAGGTTGGCAAGCGCCTTTGGACGAAGGTGCCGCAGGAGGTTTTCCCTACGGTTCAGCCTTCAGCTGCGAAGGTGACACGGATGAAACACCTGGAGTGCGCACAGTGTCCAGAAATACTTCAAGCGGAAATTGCAGCTCTACAGAAATGGTAGTGGGTCAAACATAGGTACGCAAATGAAGCCTGAAAAATGAAAACAAGGACTGACACGTGCGATCCCGTGGCGTGGTGGGGTAATTTTGACCCATACTACCCATACCCAAATTTTGAAATCCTGAGAAGGGGACCTCGCAACATGAGGTTCAGGGCAACTAAGGATCCAACATGCGTTGTCAAAGCGGGCCAAAAGGCAAGGTGTCCTTTACACCCCTCGCCCCCAAAGATCGCTCATCTGCCGAGTTTCCAAGCATGCGATGTTTCGGGAAACAACTGCCCTGCGATAAATTCGCCAAAGCTGTTTTATTACCAGCTGGAAGGAATCGTGCACCCCTTGATGAAGCAGATCCCTCCAAAGTCAAAAGGCATTTGGGTTCGCTAGGGAGCCACCACTTCCCTTTAGCTTCTTGTTTCACCCCAAAAAAGGAGAGAGACAAACACGTCACGCGGCTTGCGCCGGGCTCAGGGGAGCAGCCCTCACCGCCTTTGCCTTTGGCCAACTCTTTAGAGCGCCTTGGCCAGTTTGGTCGCCGGGCCATGGAAGAGGCGTTTTTTGGTGCCGTAGAACAACAGGGCTCCTTAAAAGATCTCTATTTTGCAACCATGTGAAGCATGTTGCTTTTTCCACCAGAATAAAGGGAACCCACCATTTACAAGGCAATGTTCAGGTGTATAATGTAAGGATCCCTGAACAAGGGCCACAAGCAAAACCCGCGTTGCAATGATGTGCTCTTGGTCGGATAGCCTGGTTCGAATTTTTCTTGAGTTAGGAATTGATGGGTTCCACGCCATCCGTTTACCGGGAAGCCCACTAATTTTATGAAAAGATTACTTATGCCAGGTAGATGGTGATTAATTGGCAGTCCCGACCTGCATTCGGCGGCCGCGCTGCTGATTCTTGACATGGCTTTGGGTCATCCAGGGTTGATTTGGCGCAAAGGATCCTGCTTGAAGGGGCACGTTGGTCGCTTCTTTTCCTGGGCACCATTTTTGGGCTGTTTAAAGGGATACCCAAGGGAAACCGTTTTGGAGGCGACTATTTGGAAACACAACAAAGGGCTGGTTGTGAACCCCTTCACAGGAAGTCAGACAGCCTTCAGAAGAGTTCCTTTCGAATCCGTGACCAGGAGCCGCGGATGGGGACGCCTGATTCTTGGTTGCTTGAAAGGTCATATGGCCGTGGGTCAACACCAGTAAAGTCCCATTTTGGGATAGGTGCACCACCCATTGGAGTCTATTTTAGTGGGGATTGTGATGTTCACTGGGGTACGGGGTTTGACCCATAGCCATGTTGTCAAAGGGGGTACTCACACAATCCTCACCAAAAAGGGTTCTAGGGCTCCAGCGTAAACGGAACGTCAGCTGTCCCTGAAAATGCAATGTGGCAGTGGCTGGGTCTGCAGCAGTAAGGTACCTCGTGCAGTCCCGGCCTTACCTCTCTGCTGTTTGCAGAGTCAGCGCTTGCAACTGCCCCATCCACGCCTGAAGTAGTATTGAGCCCTGATTTGATCTGCGCATGTGTGTGTGTGTGTGTGTGTGTGTGTGTGTGTGTGTGTGTGTGTGTGTGTGTGTGTGTGTGCGTGCGCACTTCGCACGAATCCGCACGAAACGGGCAAGGGGGCCGTTCGGCCATTTGTCCGGGCGCACCCATCGCTTTGCTTTCACGCGGCGAAATCCGGGCGGTTCGGCCTGGCCTTGACCCGTTCACAATCTGTCGGGAATGCACCTAGAACTCCAAAAACAAATCAGTTGGATGGCTTTGATAGGGCATTCCCTCATTCCCTGCTTAGTTTTCCCCTTAAAGGAAACCACCAATTGGATGGTTTATCTCGGGGTTGGGTCATTCCTATCCTCATTCTCTGCATCTCTCGCACCGATCGCAAGTACCTTTTGGGTGGAAGATCGATCGAGGACAGCCTACCGGAGCTGCTCCTGGGGACGTGCCGGCGCCAAAGAAACATGTCGTCCGTTGAAGTGGAGTTCCTAGAACCTAGAATGCACCACAGTGTTCCTAGAATTTTGGGCCCAAAGAGTGTGTGTGTGTGTTTTGTTTGTGTTTGTGTCTGTGTCTCGGGGTCTCTGTGTCTCTGTGTTTGCGTGTTTGTGTGTCTGTGTCTCTAAGTTTTCAGGGCAACCCAAAGAAAACCGGCCACCTGAAAGCAGGGCTCCCTATTATGGGGGCTCCCTCCTGAAATGGTCATGATTAAAAAGAACAAGAAGAACCACATGAAGAACAAGAACCGCAAAAGCAAGAACAGCAATAATCGCAACAACAAGAACAGCAAGGCTTGCAAGAAAAAAAACAGAAACAACAAGAAAAAGAGAAACAAGAAAAAGACAAACAAGAAGAAGAAGAAGAAGAAGAAGAAGAAGAAGAAGAAAGAAGAAAGAAGAAAGAAGAAAGAAGAAAGAAGAAGAAAGAAGAAGAAGAAGAAGAAGAAGAAGAAGAAGAAGAAGAAGAAGAAAAAAAAGAAGACGAAGGAGAAGAAGAAGAAGAAGGAAGACGAAAAAAACAAAAAAAAAAACAAAAAAGAAGCAGAAGAAGAAGCAGACGAAGAGGGGGAAGAGGACGACAACAAAAAAACAATGATAATAGCAACACACATAATAACAGAATCATAACAAGACCAAGAAGAACAAGACTACCAAGAAGAACAATCACCACGACGACGACAACAGCAGCAGCAACAACAGCAACAGCGACCAGCAGCAGCAGGAGCAGCAGCAGCAGCAGCAGCAGCAGCAGCAGCAGCAGCAGCAGCAGCAGCAGCAGCAGCAGCAGCAGCAGCAGCAGCAGCAGCAGCAAAGCAGCAAAGCAGCAAAGCAGCAAAGCAGCAAAGCAACAAAGCAACAAAGCAACATAGCAACAAAGCAACAAAGCAACAAAGCAACAAAGCAACAAAGCAACAAAGCAACAAAGCAACAAAGCAACAAGCAAGGTGACGACAACAGCAACAAAGCAACAAAGCAACATAGCAACAAAGCAACATAGCAACAAAGCAACAAGCAAGGTGACGACAACAGCAACAAGAGCAGCAGCGACAGAAACAGCAACAGCAACAGCAACAACAGCAGCAGCAGCAACAACAACAACAAAACAACCAAAACAACAAGACAACAGCAACAGCGGCAGCAGCGTCAGCGGCAGCGGCGGCGGCAGCGGCGGCAAATACATGATTGTCATCATCACACGCATCATCATCATCATCATCATCATCATCATCATCATCATCATCATCATCATCATCATCATCATCATCATCATCATCATCATCATCATCATGATCAAAACAGCGACAGCGGCAGCAACTCCAACAGCACCAACAGCAGCAAGAAGCAGACGGACAGACGCAACATGAGCAACATTTGTTTACGCATCTTTGAATTGGTAGCGCTCCTATTTAACTTCGGTTTTGTATAGTCCGTGGTTGTAGTTTTTCCCTGATGGCAGCCAGAAGGGGAACGGACTTGTCCAGATATGTTCTTTTTCAATCTTTTGAGCACCAAATGATTCGCGAAAGCGCAACTTCAACCATTTGGACCAGTTGTTGTCGATCCCTGGTTGTTTCACATCTTCCTCTCCTGCGTTTGAACATCAGCTTTCAGCTTTGTGGACGTGTTCCAGGGTACTGTTGATAGGAGAATCTAGAGACCCCTGCAACGCAACTGCCTGGACCAGTCGTCTGGTGTTTTCACAGGAAGCCATGAGTAGATGCTTTCTCTGATGCCAAGACTCGATGTGACTTGCGGCTGAAAGAGAAACTACGTTCTCCCACCTTTAACCAAGCCGGACTGAACCTAGGCATTTCTTTCAATCGCCCGCCAGCCCCCCAAGCCTTCCTGCACCCCCCCAAGCCCCACCCCCCACCCAGCCCCAACACCTACCCCCCCCCCCCCCGCCCCACCCAGCCCCACACCACCGAACCCCGGCCACGCTGGCCCTAAACCACCTAGCCGCCCCACCCAGCCCCCACGCTGGCCCCAACCCACCTAGCCCCACCCATCCCCGCCCCCGCACCTGGCCACCTATCCCCGGCCCTAGCCCCCCCCCCGTAAGAGGAAAGAATTGGGCCTATGTGTCGCCCAAGGCCCTGAAATGCAATCACTACAGTAACTCATAGATTCATATTAAACATTTAAATCAAATAAGTTCTTTAAAACTTCCAGGATATAAATATCATTAAATATTTAAAATAGTTTATAGAATTTGAATAGTTTCCGGGGTTCTTCCTGGGCCAGTTCCAGGATATTTTAAAAAACTAGACCACGGTTGGCCCGAAAGCATAACATCGCAAGCGAGGTTGGCCCAACGCTGCAGGATGCGTTCTTTTTCCCTCCGCGAAGCATTTGTGAAGCAAGCGCGGGACAGCACCAGGCAAGGTGCTCTGCGCAAACTGGTCGGTGCAAGTTGCTCTGCGCAAGTTGCTCCGCGCAAGTTGCTCCGGCAAGTTGGCCCCTGCAAGTGGCTCCCTGCAAGTTGCTCTGTGCAAATTGCGCTCCCTGCAAGTTGCTCTGTGCAAGCTGCTCTGTGCAAGTTGCTCTGTGCAAGTTGCTCTGCGTAAGTTGCTCTGCGCAAGTTGCTCTAGGCAAGGCGCTCTGCGCAAACTGGTCGGTGCAAGTTGGTCTGCGCAAGTTGCTCTGTGCAACTTGCTCTGCGCAAGTTGCTCTGCGCAAGTTGCTCTTTAAAATGCAAGTTGCATCTTGCGACGCCCGCCCGCGGACCAGGGAGGAATCGAACCCGCGACCCGCCGGTTCCGGAAGCAGGCGCGCGAACCACGAGACAACTCCCGAGGACCAGTTCGAACAACAAAAGTCGCAAAAAACCTTGAGTTTTTGCACCTCGACCACGCCGATCCCCGCAGAGGGTTGCGCGAGCACCGCAGAAATCGCAAAAAACCATGGGTTTTTGCACCTCGACCACGCCGATCCCCGCAGAGGGTTGCGCGAGCACCGCAGAAATCGCAAAAAAATCCTGAGTTTTTGCACCTCGACCACGCCGATCCCCGCAGAGGGTCGCGCGAGCACCGCAGAAATCGCAAAAAACATGGGTTTTTGCACCTCGACCACGCCGATCCCCGCAGAGGGTCGCGCGAGCATTTGAAATCGCAAAAAACCATGAGTTTTTGCACCTCGACCACGCCGATCCCCGCAGAGGGTCGCGCGGGAACTTTAGAAATCGCAAAAAACCATGGGTTTTTGCACCTCGACCACGCCGATCCCCGCAGAGGGTCGATTTTCGTGTAGTGTCGTCGGCACTACCCCGCCGCCCTAAGAAGAGATTTTAACTCCTCGCAAGTCAATTGCACTTGGCTCCTTGCACTTGCAACTTGCACTTAACTCCTTGCACTTGCAACTTGCACTTGACTCCATGCACTTGCAACTTGCACTTGACTCCTTGCACTTGCAACTTGCACTTGGCTCCTTGCACTTGCAACTTGCACTTGACTCCTTGCAACGGCTCCTTGCAATGACTCCTTGCAATGACTCCTTGCAATGACTCCTTGCAATGACTCCAATTGCAATGACTCCTTGCAATGCAATGACTCCTTGCAATGACTCCTTGCAATGACTCCTTGCAATGACTCCTTGCAATGACTCTTTGCAATGACTCCTTGCAATGACTCCTTGACTCCTTGCAATGACTCCTTGCAATGACTCCTTGCAATGACTCCTTGCAATGACTCCTTGCAATGACTCCTTGCAATGACTCCTTGCAATGACTCCTTGCAATGACTCCTTGCAATGACTCCTTGCAATGACTCCAATTGCAATGACTCCTTGCAATGACTCCTTGCAATGACTCCTTGCAATGACTCCTTGCAATGACTCCTTGCAATGACTCCTTGCAATGACTCCTTGCAATGACTCCTTGCAATGACTCCTTGCAATGACTCCTTGCAATGACTCCTTGCAATGACTCCTTGCAATGGCTCCTTGCAATGACTCCTTGCAATGACTCCTTGCAACGACTCCTTGCAATGACTCCTTGCAATAACTCCTTGCAATGACTCCTTGCAAGGACTCCTTGCAATGACTCCTTGCATTGACTTTCATGATGATCATTGCTTGCAATGACACCTTGTAATGACTCTCATGAGAACAAGTCAAGTGAACCCAGCGGAAAAACCCTTCGCCATGCTTTCGGGAAAAAACAATAGCGTCAAACACCGACTACGACCAAGTCGAGACACCGGCGTCGGCGAAGCCGCAGAACTGCTTGGCTCCTGGCAACAATCAGCGCAGCAAAACAAACACCAGCAAAACTTTCCAGATTTCGATCCTGGCCTGTGGGCACAGCTGCTCCACGACAGCGGCAGCTAGGTCTGCCTTGGTCACGTTGCTGCCTGCGACCCGTTGGCGCACATCCAGCTGTCGGGCGAGTGCGCGAAGTTGGGGTTGGGCTTTGGCCGCCACCTCTTGCTGCAGCCACGCTTTGCCATGCTGGGCCGCGCCAGCCTGAAGCCTAGCTACTTCGAGCTCCATGACTTCTGTTTGAGCCAAATCTCGATGATCATCCGCAAGATGCCACATAACAACCAGCCGTGTGCGCCATGCCCGTAAATAAGCCGTGTGCGCCATGCTCCCCGCAACTTCTTTCATGATGAGAACTCCTTGCGTCAAACTCCTACAGGGTGAGTGGCCTGAAAGCGTAACTCCCCACGATGTGCGGCAAACTTGTTTAACCCCGGCCTGGCACATGCGCAAGTTGCTCTGCGCAAGTTGCTTTGCGCAAGTTGCTCTGTGCGAGTTGCAGTGTGTGCAAGTTGGCGCGAGACAGCACCAGGCAAGGTGCTCTGCGCAAACTGGTCGGTGCAAGTTGGTCTGCGCAAGTTGCTCTACGCAAGTTGCACTGTGCAAGTTGCTCTGCTCAAGTTGCTCAGCGCAAGTGGCTCCGCAAGAGTTGCAGTTGCAGTTGCGCAGGCAGAGGCAAGGTGCTCTGCG